AAAAGGTTTTGATGTTGGTATGTTCGGCGCTAGAGTGATTGTATCATCACCAAACTTAATGAGCCAAGAAGTTTTTAATGACAAAAATGACAAAAAATCGTTGATGGGTTTTCTCGTGATTATATTTCTTAAGTTAAAGATAAACATTTTTAAAATTTTAATTTTGGATATTTTAAAGTATGTCTGAAGGTCCTTGAAATGGTCTATAGAATTCGGTAAATAAAGTGGTTCTAGCACGTTGATGTCTGCAATACACTTTAATCAAAGTTCAAGTAAACTATAGAGATTGGAGTTCTTGGTTGTTGTCATTATATATGATGTATGTATTTTGCTTTTGCCGCCTTTGCCTCTTAGAGTAGGTGATGGTTTTTTTTTTCGACGTACTTTGTCCATGTCTATAGCCCTACTGGAAACTTCTTGTTTGCTTTAAAAACAAAACAAAAAATCTGGAATAATATCGCAATTATGCTCTAAATTTTTACAGCTTAACAATCTCAAAATGTCGCGTTTTGTTTTGGCGTACATTGGGAATGTCTAGCACTACTGGGAACTTTTAAAATCACAAATTACGAAATGCCTTAAGCTAGTTTTAAATAATCTCGTAGATATACAAATCACTAGAGCAGCTGTAAATTATGCAGCTTATCAATCTGAAAATTTAATATTTGTATTTCGTCGGACTGTGTACTTGTCTTGCCCTAATGGGAACATCTTTAACAAAAAAATGGGCAAGCGCACTTGTCCAGTCGGTGCAGAACAGTAGGACGTTAAACCCCTTTCATTTCAAATCGCACCTGTAAATTGTGCAACTTAAAAATATAAAAAATACAGTACTTTTGTTAGGCCTTGTAGGAATATGCTTTACAAATCACAAATCCCCAAACGTCTTGATCTCGAATAATCGCTAGAGCACCTATACGTTTTACAGCTGAACAATCTGAAAATATGGTATTTTTGTTTTGGCGAACTTTGTGCATGTCTAACCCTATGGGAACATTTTTTTTAAAAGCGATCTGGAATCATGTAGTTGTATAAATCAGTCGCGCTACCTGTAAATTTTACAGCTCAATAATCTGAAAATGTTACAATTGACAAAAAAACTTAACCCATATGCTTTACAAATCCCCAAACGTCTTGATCTCGAATGATCGCTAGAGCACCTATACGTTTTACAGCTGAACAATCTGAAAATATGGTATTTTTGTTTTGGCGTACTTTGTGCATGTCTAACCCTATGGGAACATTTTTTTAAAAAGCGATCTGGAATCATGTAGTTGTATAAATCAGTCGCGCTACCTGTAAATTTTACAGCTCAATAATCTGAAAATGTTACAATTGACAAAAAAACTTAACCCATATGCTTTACAAATCACAAATCCCCAAACGTCTTGATCTCGAATGATCGCTAGAGCACCTATACGTTTTACAGCTGAACAATCTGAAAATATGGTATTTTTGTTTTGGCGTACTTTGTGCATGTCTAACCCTATGGGAACATTTTTTTAAAAAGCGATCTGGAATCATGTAGTTGTATAAATCAGTCGCGCTACCTGTAAATTTTACAGCTCAATAATCTGAAAATGTTACAATTGACAAAAAAGCTTAACCCATATTAGTCACTCGCTAAAGGCAGTTGTAAATATGACCCAAATAATGTCATGGAACAGAACTCTTCAATGACGATGACGAGATATGACAACCGCTTGACCTAAATTAATTGAGTAGAAAACACGACCCCCTCGTGGGAATCATGAAAGACCAGTACTCCCTATTTTAATTACCGCTGTCAGGTGCGAACGCGACGGGGGCGTTCCGCAAGGTGAGGCTCTCACTTCGCCTCTTTTCATAGTATTTAATTAGACCCCTGATGCCTGGAGGGAAACTGAGCGAATCTGATGAACGACTCTGTGACTGTTTATCTTTGCAAGTAACCTTAATTATCCTCTTGAAAATATCGTGACGAGAAGCATTTGCAACAAGAGTGAGGAGAGATGTAGTTTAGTAATTTTATGACAGAGAGAAAACTAGCTATCGAGTACTAGAACATGAAAAGGGCTTAAATATATATATATATGTACATACATAGCCATATGTGAAATCGGTTTATGAACACGTTCAAATAACTGTAGTTCCGTTTCTTTTATCCATTATCAAATAAATTAACATATTTTCCGATAATATAAATTGAATAAATTTCAAGTAACTGTAGTTCCGTTTCATTTAACAATTGTGACATAAATTACCATATTTCACGATACAAAAATGAATAAATTTTTATCAAAAATTAAAGAAACATTAGATAACTGGGGGGGAGAGAGAAATGGGGGTTAACGTCCACTTGACACAAACTAGGTCATTTCGGGACTAACATGGTTTTAATTTTGTTTCAATAATTCGCTTGCGCATAGGGATCTGTAGCAGTGGGAGGACCCGGATAAAAACAACGAGGTTGGACAGGCGACTCTACTCCTTGTCACGTACAACCGGGGATTCGAAACCACGCCAGTTGACTCAATGACAGGCCTTATGATACAGCGCACACGTGCTAACCATTCGGCCGTCCAGCCCCCCTGATAACTGGGGGACGGGGTCAATGTCTGAAGTATTCACTGCGGATATGCCAATGGGTTACTTATAGTGCTTAAGAGTTTTGCCTTTTAAGGGTTTAATTCCTTCGGGTTCCCCACAGAATCTGGAACCACTTGGACCTTCAAACATATTCGGGGAATTGTTTACAATTGAATATTTCTGAGGAACCACACCCCACATATTGGAGTTTGATGATGACGTGTGGCAACATAGATCTCTCTAAACAATAATGTGCTAAAAGGGAATGTGATAACGTGTAATGCAGGACGGGGGACCTGACAAGGACAGCTGTCTAGTCGTTCAGATGGGACAAAAAACCGAGGTCCCGTGTACAAATTGGCGTGCAGGTAACAGATCCCTTGACAGTTGGAATTCAATATAAGAGTAGGCCGTAGCGCCGCTGTCCGGGCAAAAATTTCCCTCATGGCGAATGCCCGTCTTCATTAGCCCAGTTCGGAGCAGAACAGTATGACGTTAAACCCCATTTCATTTTCTAAAAAGGTCCAATGCACTGGAATAATATTAACTTTTGCCTCATAGACATCTGTAATGGGACTGGTGTGTCTGTGTCTACTATCATATACATCTATTCAATGGGACGGACATCCTTTGTTGTGTGGCATGCCTGTCAACTTGACATGTTCTTCATGATATTACACTGACGTATATTTATGTAGTTTTGAAAATGGATTGCCCTTTAGGTTCGATGGTACGGTATTTTAGTTTGAGAAACTGATGTAGCTGAACATTAATATTTTGATGTTTTTATTAAGCCCCATGGCTTTCGCGACCTTTGGAGGACCTCTATATATGGCCTACACAGTAGATAGCAATGTTCATCTTATAGCTGGGACGAACACCAAAGTCCAGTTTACACGTAAAAGAACACTTGGCAATAGGCTTAAACGCAGTGGTACGGGCCAAATATCACTCATAGCACAAGGCATCACGTAACACGATCGGTGCAGAAACGTAGACCGTCAATTCCCATTTCATTTCAGTTGATTACTGTAAAGTTATTTCGCTATATTATAGACTTCAAGATACATTATGGGAGATTCGATGACGAGTTGGCAGTTCGCACTATAATAGTTAAAAACGAGATAATGTAAAGGCAGTTTGCTGAAAATTTCATTCAAATTGATCAACTATGAACCGAGAACTAAGCTATTGAAATTTCCGCCTAGCCTCGATCATTATTACTAAAGCCAGTACGATAAACAGCATAGTCTCGATTATCCATTTAATCGTTAAATCGTGATGGAAAGTTATGCAGTAAATCGGCCCATAGTCCACTAAAGATCGCAGACTAGCGATGTCATCTAGAGTTGATTATGGTCTGGATAGGTTATTTAATGTCTAATTAATAATTTAGGTAACATTTCAGGCCTAAAGAAAGACCTGCAATAGACAGATTTAGCTCTTGCATAATGTATGTTTAATGTACCATTACTGCAAAGCTACCTTGTAATATTGTATTGTTAACTTTAAATGATAATGCAACATTGCTATAACGTCATTTCTTCTAATGTAACGTTATCTTTAAATTTGATTTCGTTAATGAAATGCAATACTATCGTTACTGTATAGTTATTACTCTATATTATAGCCTTACTGAAAAGTTATCTTATTATGATTTCACCCAAAGTTATCTTGTAATCTTGTAATGTTACTTTAAACTCTAATGTGACTTTGGTATAACGTCATTTGTAGTAATGTGACGTCATCTTGCAACATTGCAGTGGCGTCATTTGTAGCAATGTGACGTTATTTTGTAACATTACTATAACTTTGTTATACGGTAACGTTATCTTTAGATTCTAAAGTAGCGCTATCTTGTAATATTGCTATAACGTCACATTTGTTCTAAAGTAACGTTATCTTGAAACATTGATGTAACGTCATCTTGTAACATTGCTATAACGCCACATTTGTAATGATGTTTCATTATCTTACAATAACACAATCCCTTTAAATGCTAACGCAACGTTATCTAGATATCACATAACGTCATTTGTATTATTTTGACATGACTGTAAGTTATCTTGTAAGCTTTTTACAACATTAGTATAGCGTTATCTTCTAACACAATCTTCTGATAAAAATGTAACATTAACGTTCTTCGATTCGTGTATATCTTCTGTACTGCGTGATACAGGCATCTTCGACCGCTGTATTCATTGGGTGTATTCAATGTTTCTGTGACAAGGAGCTCACTTGATACATCGGCTACAGCATGTCTATTCAACTGTATCTTCTTCAACCATAATAACATTGAAACACATACAAGTACGCCACGTCCTGTACAACTAACTACGACTATTGAGATTGTGCTGTTGAAAAGAGAAATGCGAATTAAGCTCGTTAGATTTCTTTAGTTAGAGAAATTCAATTGGCAAGCAATTCTTTCTTCTCCCTCTGTATTTCACTCGTTCATCTGCGGAGTAAAAGGAAGGCATTGAAAGCCTTCGTTCGATATTAGATGAAGAATGTGTCGGCTTTAAGAATAATGAAACTCCGCAAAGCATAATGGCCCTTTCTTCACCATATGAATAGCCAAATCCGCTTCTTTTAATGCAGAATCGAAGTGAAGTTAGATTTAGTTCGCTATGGCTCTTGATAAGACGTGTGTGGCTCATACTGGGGGGAAAATGTACAAATATATATCTTATGTTCTTGAATTCAAATTCAATATAATATCAAAATTCACCGAGGCATCGGAATGTATGGTCTGAGACAAGAAAAATGGGAGTGAAGTCCGTACTCAGCGATATTCTATCCGACCACCAGCTCGCCATATTTAAATTCTGGAATAACAACCTAAGACAAGGTATTATTATTATTATTGTTTTTATATTAAGTATTGCCAAATGTATCTTTAATCTCCAAAGCCGGAGATTTATTGTTGTTGGTGTGCTCTCTACAGAACGTTGTTAAAAACACATCCAGCCTCTGTGACGTTCATGTGGGTCTCTTGGGAGCGTCGTAGTGCTGCATTACGATGGTTGAAGCGAGCGAATGCCAATATTTTCAGGTAGTAACTTGTTCGATAACGAATGGATTAACGCATGTTTATATCTTTATGGTGGCATCGTAAATAATATATTAAGAATATATATACCGCGAAACGCTTACGTCAAGCTAGACTCATTGAGCACACTTGACGTGTTTGCACACGAACAGGGATGTAAGAAAAATTTGCATATATTTTTTTTCATTGGTCATTTTTAGTTTTTTGTTCCCGCCCGGTTCTACTTACCATTTTACACGACTAAATAAATTTCACTCGATGCTTTTTTTTTTATTTTATAAAGAATTCTAATTTAATTTTGTGATAATGTTTCTTGAAAAAAAATCCTGCTTCTTTTATCGACTTAAGAGAAAACAAAATGATTTGTTTAGCAATTTCAAATCATAAGACAAAATATTTTTTTTTTATATTCACTCTTGACAATATTTCATGAGTTAAATTACAGCATTTAAAATTTAGACTACGAAATAATTTAGTGAATCGATTGACTCACAATAATTAATTTTTTTTCCAGCCTATTTTACTGGGTTCATCCTGTACATATAATTTTAAATGATTATTTGTGTTTATCAAACTGGTAAGCATTGATAGAATTTCCCATAGTTATCCCTCGAATATATCTTCTACTTTCTGACTCATTCATGATTCATTTTAATATATCGTCAAGATAAATCGAATATTACCCAAGTCAGTTTTTAACTCATTTTACAAAGAACACTACCCATTGATACAGAAATATTATTTGAAGCCTTAATAGTATTCCTTTTGATAAACATGACGATTTGAGATGTCCTCTAGTAATATTATTCACCGGACAGTCACTGAGCACTGAGGTTTAACAAATAACCAATTTTATTCGGACAGATGATTATGTCAACCGTAGTTGTTTTCATAGATGATTTTTTGCCTCAGCTTGTTGGTATTCAATTTTTACTGAAATGAAATGGGGTTTAATGTGTTACTGTTCTGCTCCGACTCAACTTTTTAATGAAATGAAATTTGTATTTATCGTCCTACTGTTCTGCTCCGACTCAATATTTAATGAAATGAAATGGGTTTAACGTCCTACTGTTTTGCTCCGACTCAATTTTTAAGTCCCATGATGTAATATATAGAAAATGAAGAACGGATTTTTTGTCTTTATTCTAATTGTTCTCTCTTTGATGTTTTTCAAAATTATTTTTGTATTCATATTAAGCCGACACAAGCATCAAATTTTAGAATACATTTTGGTAGTTTTGTTTAAACTTTTTTGTTATTTTCTAATTGAAATGTTGGAATATCTTCCCAAAATATTTTAAAAAAATATTTATTTAAAAAATATTTATAAATATAATTTAAATATTCCAGTACATCAATAGAGTGTTAAATGCTAATGTCAACTGCTATCGTCACCCAGTATTCATCCGCATTTTGTAGCCTTTTATATTCTAACTTGTTTTCAATGGCGTGTGTTTATCCCGAGATAGAAATAATGCAAACATTCGGGTAATAAACGTTAAGTTGACTGGCTTAATTTAAAATGTATCTAAAAACTCGGAAAGGTAAATTTGTCCTGAAACTTATCATACCTGAGAGAACGGCAATCTAACCAACATCAAAGAAGTCGACAGGTAAAATAGATACCAGACGATTAACCGTAGTTGCGTATCTCTACTAAAGATCTTTGCTTTAAAAATTGTAACAGTAGGATTTTAAGTAGATTTGTATATAGGCTCTACACTGCCACGTAGATACAGTACTCTGATGAACGTAAAGGGACATTTGGTTGATGTTCAAAGCAAAATAGATTAAATGAAATGGGGTTTAACGTTCTACTTTTCTGTACCAATCGGTTTAATGCAGACGGACAGCAAAACAGGCATTAAATATTAATTTTTATAGCACAGCATCTATAATTCTTTGTTTTGGGATCAACATTTACATGGTGGTTTGGTTTTATTAGCCCTGTTGGTCCAGAAAAGTAGGACGCTAAACTTCATTTCACTATTATGGTTTCGCTTACACAGTATTGATTATAATAATTCGGTTTGAAGATAATATACACCAGTTAATACTGCGATGGTAATAATAAAACAATATGGTCCAGTTTTGCTGACTTTTGAAGACCCAACATTGCTTATATATTTACTCTGATAATGATAGAGTGAACGAAGGAGGCAAATGCGACTTAACTTTCACTCAACACAAACAAGATCATTTCGGAACTAAATAATTCGATTGCACGTAGGTGTCTTTAGCATGGTTCGGAAACCTGAGGACACACAGAAAACCCATGATGTTGGGTTACCATGTCTCTTTAAAATGTCTGTTCTATGGTTAAAGAGACTTCAAAGTACTTTAATTTCTTTACGAACAGAATGTGGTCTGTTTGTCTTTCGATGTAATTAGTAAATACTAAGAAAAAAAAATGAAATTGACACAAGATTCAAGCCTACAGAAAAACTCGAATTTAAACTGACTTTATTTAAGCAAAGACTTTTCATTCATTCATTCATTCACGGAGTGTTCAGTTCATATTAATTTACAATAAACTCATAACTGAGGAATCGTTCGGTATAACGAGCCTTTTAATAAGTCATTTGGCATACAATACCTCGGGTCAAATAAAGGCATGGTCGCCCCAACACTATCCCAAGGAAATGGTGATTGGCCCAAGCCTCGCTTAAGTCTCTACTGACCATAAGGCAGTCTACGCAAGTTCTGTTGCCTAACAGTACATCTGGCCCAAAAAGGCATGGTGTTCCCAACTATATCCCAAGAAGACGGGGACTTCTCCTCAGCCCTGCGTTACTATTTTCTTAGTCTCTACTGACTATAAAGGCAATCTGCAGTTACCCCTCTTTTGATCGACAATAGATCCGGATGAACAAAAAAAGGCCTTGTGTGCCCAACCCTATTTCAAGTTGATTGGTCATCAAGATTCTCGAGTCTCTATACTGACCACGAGGGCCATCTACACCGGGTCGCCAGGAATATGTGCATACCCTTAGGTTCAAACATACGGGCAGTGGAAGTAATAAAATATTTCTTAATAAATAAAAATGTCACAGAGCCACGTATTTTGGAAGGTTGCCATAATCAACTGTTATCCTATATATTTTTGTGGCAAAACATATTCTAATCTAATATTTTGTTCTAATCTAATAGTTTCAACTAAGACATTTTCTTGCTTTATTTTGATCTCGATGTAGATCAATATAATGCTTTACTCTTAATTCAAAAACAACTGAAGCTTACATAAATATTAAATATTCTGCCATGAATTCTAATAAAGAGTTGCAAATATGTTCTATTTTCGTGCACCAAATAAATCAGAAAAATATCTGTAGGAAATTGATTATAAATTGAGTTAAGACGTCTGTAGTGACATATGCTGTAAATAAAAATCCTTCTGTTACCCATGAAATCAATCACAATATAGTAACATACTGACTAGATCAATAAATAAAAATCACAACTCAGATTTTCATGTTTTAACTATAATATTTGGGGTATGGAGCTACCCGTGTAATTCCTACTTTTATAAAAAAAAAAAAAATAAAAACAAATCTTTTAATTTATGATTACTTTTGTTCTGAATTCTGTTAATCTCGAATTGCATTTGTCTTGACTGTTAATGATTGCATTTAGCAACGGAGATCTTAAGAAATAACCGCGATATATATATATATATATATTACTGAATTATGGGGAGCATATTTATACATAAACGCATTATTTTGATATTAGTATTGCAAAATATATGGTTACTATTATTTTGATAAGTATTAATATTTGACGGTTTGATTTTGTATATGTCGATTCGTGTTTTATATGAACTGTAATAAAACAGTTCTAAAAATGTTTGAAGTTGAAGTTTAATATGTGTTTATGAAATATAATTAATATAGGAAATACTATAAATACTTATATTTGGTTTATGTATTACTTTGTTTATGTTATTTCCAAACATGTATATAGTTGGAATTATAATGTGTATAAGCAATTTCAAATATTTAAAGTTTTCAGTTTTCAGTATATTTGTTACTTGTTGTGGTTGTTTTGAAATGTATATAGATTGTATTTATTTGTTGAAATACAATTAGTGTAAGAAATACTATAAATTTCAAATATTTGGGGCTTTCGTTTTTCAGTATATGTTTTACTTGTTTCGGCTGTTTTGAAATGTATATAGATTGTATATATTTGTTGAAATACAATTCGAGTAAGACATAATATAAATTTCAAATATTTGAGGCTTTGAGTTGTCAACTTATATATTACTTTGTTACGGCTGTTTCAAAACAAGTATAGTCGGTATTTATCGCTGAAATATAATGAATATACGAAATACGATAAAATTCAAATATTATTGTGTTCGAGTTTACGATCTATTTATTATTTGTTTTCCATATTAACATTCAAAACCAAAACAATTTCTGACATGTTCAATTGTTTGCCTGATTAGCCTAGGTTTTGTTACTGATCGTTAACTAATTGAATTTGAATTTCTTAATTATTTATTTATCTATTTTGTAAGGGTAGAGAGAAGTGGTAGAATTGTTATCCAAGATTTTTAAACACCAGATACTAAATAAAAGTAGTCCAAATTCTGGTTTCTTTATCATCTGTTTAGTGAAGATAGAGAGAAGGGTGGGATTATTTTTAACCAAGGGTTTGAAACATCAGATATAACATTTTAAACTTACTCTAAAATTTGCGACGGTGGGGTGGGGTGGGTTGGGGGAGGGAGGGGGGAATATTTAACCAAGATTTTTAAACATCAGAAATAACATTCTAAACATCTTACTCCAAATTGTCTTTATTATCATGTTGACCTTCATCACCCGTCTTTTGATGGTAATTGTAGTAGTTAAATCCTTATATGGATTTTAAAGCTAGTTGTAACTCTAGACAACTATTGGATATAAACAAGGGAATCGTGATAGATCACGTATTATAGGATATACGGTTACAGAAGTTAGTAATTCAATACCCAATTCCATATCATATTATGGTTTAGTATCATATTATATTCATAAACATATAGTTTGATGATAAAAATGATTATAAAGATTTAATCTGACTCTTTTAAGTTTTGAAGTGACCGAGATGTATGATAAATACAATAACACAGTGATTCCACTCCTATTAAATGTATCCAGTGATCTATAAAAAAAATGAATATTCTGTCATAACAATTACAATATTAAATTTGCAACTGAAATGTGTAAGCCAATGCACGTATCGTACTTGTTTATCATATCATCAAATTTTTAAAAGGATACACAAAGTAGTAAACCGGATATCATTTGTTTTTTATTTGAGATCATGATATTAATATATGTTACTCTTTCAACTACAATTTTTATATTCCCAGGCTTAATATGCTTTCGTATATATATGGTTTATATCAATTAATAAACTTGAAGTAAACGTTATTAATAATCCCGAGAATCAAAGACATAATGTTATGTTTCTATATATATTCGATATCAAATAGTCAACATAAACATGAAATAAAAAAAAATATTCATATTTCCTGTGAATCACGGGTATATATATATATATTAAATGCCTTTTTTAACGTCCAAA